CTCATGCAATTAAGCCATCACTTTCTTTTTCCTCCCACTTACGTACTTGTGCCTCAATAGGTTATGAGCCTTTCTCGTCTTTCCTTTAGTTTAGTTTAGAGATGGTCGAAGGGTATCCGTCGCGGATACCCGTTATCCGCTGGCGGATACCCGTTATCCGCTGGCGGATACCCGTTATCCGCTGGCGGATACCCGCCTGTGCCAACGGATACCCGCCAGCGGGTACGGATTCGGGTGCGGATGGCCCCTTTTCCGCAAATCGCTGGCGGGTATCCGGGTATCCCAAAGGATACCTGCGGCCGGAAGGGGAGATGGCCGGCTGGAAGGGCTTCCTTCCAGCCGGCGAGGTACAAGTACCTTGTCAACTGGAAGGGCTTCCTTCCAGCCGGCGAGGTACTTGTACCTTGTCAACTGGAAGGGCTTCCTTCCAGCCGGCAAGGTACATGTACCTTGTCAACTGGAAGGACACCCTTCCAGCCGGCGAGGTACATGTACCTTGTCGACTGGAAGGACACCCTTCCAGCCGGCAAGGTACATGTACAGTGGGTTGACAGAAAAAATGGAACCCCCAAACACTGAATTTTGGGGGTGAATCTGAAGATTTTTCAAAGTTTTTTTTTTGGAATGTGGGACATTGAGGGGCTGGGAAACTAACTGTGGGGACAGTTTTGTTTCATTGCAGAAAAAAAAAAAGTTACAATTAAAAAAAAAAACCTGCAATTTTTAAATTTTTTAATAAGTCCAGGAAAAATATGAGACAAAGGTGGGGGGATTGTTGAGGGGCTGAGAGGAATGATTAAGGAAGAAAAAGTTGAAAAAAATGAAAACTTTTTTTTTAATTTTTTTTTTTATGTTTTTATGTTTTTTTTTTTTTTTTGAGTTATTAGTAAAAAGAAACAGTTTTTTTACCACCGGGTTGGCCCTCCATCAGCATCAACAACAGCCTTCATCCTGTGGGGCATAGACTCGAGGAGGTGATCGAAGGTTTGGGTCGGATAGTCATCCCAGGCCTGGCTGATCGCTTCCTTGAGTTCGGGGATCGATCGTGGGTTGTAGAGGGTTTGGATGGCCACCTTGAGGTCCTTCCAAACATTCTCGATGGGGTTGAGATCGGGGGACTGGGCTGGCCAGTTGTCGATTTTCTTGATGCCATGGCTGGCTCGGTAGTTGCGGCTGAGGATGGCGGTGTGGACAGATGCATTGTCCTCCATGAGGGTAGGACGATGTGCCTCATCGATACCGTCCATGAAGGGCTGGAGGCCCTTCTCGTATACGTTCTCGATGAAGCTTGCTGCGTTGCGCTGGCCGGGGGGCATGAAGAGAACCGGGGCTTTTGTTTTATCAAAGAAGCCACCCCAGATCATTGTCGACGACCGTCCGCTTCGGAAAGTCGGCTCGAGGCATTCCGGGCGATACTTTTCGTCCGTTTGGCGCCAGACCGAGATTGCTTTCGAGTTCTTACCTAGCTCGAACGATGATTCGTCGGTCCAGAGTACCGAGCGCCAATCGTCGACGGTCCAGTTGAGGTGAGCCGTTGCGAAGGCAAGCCGCCTAGCTGCTTGCTTGTCGTTAACGAACGGCTTCTTGACAGCCCTTCGGTTCTGGTACCCGAGCTTGTGAGCACGTCGGCGAGCGGTTCGGATCGAGATTGGAGTCGCCAGCTGCTCCACGATCTCCCTCATTGGGGCCCGGCGCTGATCGTCAAGGACTTGCCGGAGTCGTCGTTCGTCGCGCTCAGTGGTAAGGGGAGGTCGACCAGTCGGAGGTTTCGATTCGTTGGTACCACGGTCCTTCCAGCGATTGATGATGCCTGAGAGGGTTGATCGCGCCGTTCCAAACTCTTGAGAGAGGTAGGCAAGGCTCTTGCCTGCCCTTGCCATGCCTACAATCATCGCCTTCGTCTCCGTTGACAGGTGAGGCTTTCGATCGGGCTTCGTTCGGACCATCCTGAGCAGAAAGAGAAGGTTAGTTCAGAAAAAGAAGAAGAAGAAGAAAAAAAAAACACTTACTTTTAAAATTGATAAAACGAAATGATTCGGAAAAGGTATGGTCAACAGGCCATCGCCAATGACCAACTCGAGAGGTGTAGCCAGTACACCTAAGTGTCACAGGGGGTGACACCCATAAAATCTGAACCCGCAAGCGGTGTTCGGATTTTTCTGTCAACCCACTGTACCTCGCCAACTGGAAGGACACCCTTCCAGCCGGCGAGGTACATGTACCTCGCCGACTGGAAGGAAGCCCTTCCAGTCGACGAGGTACAAGTACCTCGCAAGCCCTTCCAGCCGGTCCTTCGCCGGCCCTTTAGAGGGCGGGTATCCGAGGATACCCGCTGCGGCCGACGGATACCCGCTAGCGGGTGCGGGTGCGGATGCGGATGTGCAATTTTGCTGAAATCGCCATTGGATATCCGCATCCGAACGGATATCCGGATGCGGACTGACCATCTCTAGTTTAGTTTGGTACGAGTTCTTTTGATGAATACACTCTTTAAACGCATCAATTTTTTTTGGCTGTGCCGTTATTATTAGTAGTTAATCTTCAATTATTTAACATTTAATCCTATCAGTGTCTCTCTGGCTTCTCTCGTGTGATTCTCTCGTTTTTTTGTCTTCGTGCTTCTCTCTTGTCTCTGTGGTGAAGTCCCAAGTGTGGGCAAGTTTCTATCTCTATTGGTGTTGTGTCTCTCTCTCTCGTCTCTCTGGTGAAGTCCCATGTGTGGGCATGTTTCTCTGTGTTTTATCGGGTGTTTTCTCTACTTCTGGGTGATATAACGGGTGATTGAGTGAAATGGTTTTTCTTGATACTGAGTTTATATAGTCTTCTTGATACTGAGTTTATATAGTTTTCATGATACTGAGTTTTACTATTACTGTTCCTCCTCTCCAACTGGCAACAACTCCCTCTGCGACTCCTCTGCAAAATCAATTTTTTTTGAATATTTCCGTTACACTGCTACTGTCCTCACTGTACTGTGGATCCACCACATTTGCCTCAAAGGTGATGTCCTCCAAACACTAGGCCATGATTTCACCAATTTTGAACAATCCTAGCTAGTACAAAGACTTGGACTATGGTATTGATCTCTCTCCTGGGTCCGGCGGGTCGTGTCTAAGGTGTTTTTACGACTGCTCAACTGAACCTGGAACCAACGGTGCCACAGATACGAGACATGTATTTGTATCGGATTGTATCGTATTTATTTTGAGCCTGATACCGGTATCAGTATTTCCTTGGTTGGTGAAAAAATACATTGTATTGGATTTGGATTTAAAAATGAAAAAAAAAAAAAATTTTGTCTTCGTTTTTTTTCGTTTTTTCTTCAATACAGCCAAATATCTTATGTATCAAATACGGTTTTGGTGGGATCAGTCATCTGAGACGATACAGAATACATTTCTCACTTTTCAAATACGATACATGTATATGTCTCAGGAAAGTGAGACAACACAAATCCGGTATTTTTGGGTATTCCAATTCTGAGACGATACAGATAAACGCCTGATACCGTATCGTATCGTCTCTGTGGCACCGTTGCTGGAACATCTTTGGTCTTGCAATCGTCTCTTCAACAACACAACCGACTCCCGCCCTTCTTTTCCTGAGTAGTTTGTTCACTTACTGCCTCTGGCTCATGCCCTCTCCACACTTTGGTCTACTTGTTCTGGAAAGAAAACAAACGGTCCCCAAACTCCGCTTTGAATAACTTGTGGCAATGGTTGTGGCCGGAATTTTTTTTACCTAATCTTTCCTTTGTCCTCCAATATTTTCTCTGTGCTCTCCTCCCGCCTCCCCCATTTCAGTCACCCTGCCTTCTCTCTCTGTGCCACCGACCGACATGCCGGACATCCACTCTTCCGGACGACTTGGTTCCCGCCCATGTTATATTCAGATTGCGACATTCCCTCCATCATTTTCACCATGGGGTCTGTGGTTGCCACTACGCTTTGTGCCCAACAAAAGATCACCTGGCAGCCGCTTATGTTTTGGATTGGGTCTTGCGGACAGCGGTTTGCCCCTGGCTTGACAAATCAGGATAACTTCGGCGGCAATTAAACAGATATGTAGTTCCATACCTCGGCTTCAGTTATAGGGAACATGGCCAAAGCTAGCTCATGTACTCTCATCTCAGTGACCCTGCCCCGTTAGCACCAATCTTATATAGCCATCCTCCATATCCTGCCCTGGGATTTCTCCTTCCTTGTCATAATAGGCCATTTGTATCCAGCCATCTTCCGGCACGGCTCCAGCGGATGGTACACTGGGGGGGGTAGCGGTATTCAGACACATCTGCTTTGATCAGAAGGCCAGGTGGACACGGTGGCGAAGTGGCAAAAACAACTGTCGCCGGTATCATGGCCATCCCACCTACACCCCGAGTGTTTGGCATCTGCTTGGCCCCAAACTGATATTTAGCTTTGATCAGTCAGATAGACGGACACGGAGTACCCAAATCTTACGAACTAAAGTCGCTCCGGTTCGGAACAATTAGCTCCCAGAATGGTGCCGAACTGGGGGGGTTGGCATGTACCGGTGATTCCAACTAGAGTGTTGATCTCAACTATGGCAGCAATACCAATTGTGCTTGCTGCCCAAGGTCGTCGTTGAATCACACCCCACAGCATCAAACTCCAAAACTGACAAGCAGAAAAGTCTCAAGGGAACGAGTCCCTCCACCAGTTCGTCGATTGGACCCAGCAGTAGTTAGAGGCCTAGCCCTTCCGATAGCGACCCTGTCAAAGCTAGTCGTCTGAAAGCGCTGCTGTGGTTCTAGTTGGGCCTCATTTGGATATGTTACGGATTCTTGGACTCCAGGAAGTGTACCTGGCTCACACGCTTCTCTCCCTCAACATCCGTTCAACCCCAGCTGAGCGTCTTTGGAAGGACAAGGGCGTAAAAGGCGCCCTGATGCTCACCAGCGCCATGGTTCGATCAGTTCCGTGGGCTCGCATTGTTCGGCTGGCGCTTTGCAGCTCCTGACTCCCTACACAGTTTCAACCATGCATCCCACTTACCCTCACCGTACATCAGCTGCAAACACCACTGTCAGACGTGTCACGGCGTCTATCAGCGCTACACCCGGTTCTGAGTCGTCACTGGCAGCCCAGAACTTTATCGTTGACATCGTCAAATTCGTGCACTCTCAACAAAGCGGCAGTCAGTTGGGAACACCTATGCGTATCGGAGCGAATAGGCTCTTGTGAGGATAGTGTTACATCCGATTTTGCTACTCCTATCACCAATCAAGCTCAACTTCCAACCTCATCACTGTTTACCGGTGTCATCAATTACGTCGGTACACTGAAAGCTTCCAACCAGGTCCCTGCAACACCATGCCACCCCGGTCTCAGAATCAGACACAGGTTCTATTCCCTCAGCTTCCTCATTCAACAAAGTCGTGGTCTTGTTGAGTGGGGGGGTGTTGTAGCTCGACTACGTAATCTGGCGTAATGATTACGTCTCACTACACTCTACGTCATAAATGACATAGACAATGATCTCGACAAGATGTCTGACTGTCTCATGATTCTCTTTTTCCTTCTCTTTCTCTTACATAATGTGGAATATAAATAGTGTTGTATTTCTATTCACATTATGCCTTTTTCCTCATGCAATTAAGCCATCACTTTCTTTTTCCTCCCACTTACGTACTCGTGCCTCAATAGAATCTAGAAACAAAAAGCCCCCCAAACGCATAATAAAAGTGACAATTGTCCCTTAACTGTTACGCGTGAGCTGGGATCTCTGTGAGAATCGGAAATACGTAACTAGATTTATTCCATAATATGGGATAAAGTATTGAGTGGAGGCATTTCTGTTTTGAGGAATGATTTCACTTAATGTTTCTTAAAACGTCTGCTAACACTGAGCAGTATTCCGATGAGCTTTTATATTTGTCGTAGATACGAGGATCGAAAATAGGACAAGGAAATTGGAAATACGAAGTCTTGTAACAGCCTATAATATTTAAGACACCAGTGGTTTCCATCTTTGTTGTTTCTCCTCATCACAATTTTTTTGTTTCTTACTTTATCATTCTGCAAAAAGCAACAATTCAACCTTATCTTCTCAATTTCAATCAAGTCTTATCATTGATAAGCAACCTTAGTGCCCTAGTTATCATTAGCTCGTCTGTCAATATTCTTATAAGACATCTTGTCTTGGCCTGTCCAAACTTATTGTAATACCTTAGTTATTACAATAATATTGTGATCTTTTAAAACTCTTTTGCTACTTTAAACCATGGATTCTCCTCAACCTGATCGCGTCCAAGAACTCGCCAACGTTCTTTCTAATCTCCAACTCAACCATCAAACAGAGCAACAACGCTCTGAATTCCTCACCACCGAAATTTCATGTTTGAAAATCGATCTCAATTCCATCAAACTCACCCTTCAAGATGTTACTCAACGACTCCTCACCTTTCACCATCAACTTGCATCCTTTGAAGCTCCTCCCCCTCCTCCTCCTCCTCCTCCTCATCCTGCTTAATCCGATGTTGTCTTAATGCCCCATGCCTCTTTCTCTGGTAACCCCAAAGAGATTAATCAGTTCATCTACTTTGTTAAAGACCGATTAATAGAGGTAGAATCTTGTTTCATCAACAAGAAGAGTAAGATTAACTGGGTTGTTCGCCATTTCCGTTATCATAATGATTCTGTTTTTAAAATCCCCCCTTCTTATAATTGGTGGATGTCTTTGTTAAAGGAGAACGCTCGACTTCAACAGCTTGATCCTCAATGTGTTTCCGCCGAAGATCCGTATATTTTACCTTGCTTTGTGTTGCAATGAACCTAGGCCAGGAAGAGAGATGATGGAAGGATGAGGTTCATTGCATAGAAGAAAAAGAGAGAAAGACAAAATGACTAGAGAAACAAGCTAGACTCACCTAAGCCAGGAAGAGAGATCGTGGAAGGATGAGGAAAGAAGAACTTCCACAATCAGTCTGCTGACCTAGAGTGACTACATACATGGGTGTCACAGATGTGTGACATGAGTGAAAAGAGGAGAAAAGGTAGGAAGCAGAAAGAAGAAGAGTGAAACACCTGTGAAATCCAATACTTTGTCTCAATTAGAAGTTTTTTGTCTAAGCTAGAAGAATTTTTTGCTGATAGAAGTAGTGCCGAAGATGCCAAACAAGCTTTGTATAATTGTAAACAAGGCAATCAGCCTTTAGATGTATTTAACTCTCTATTTAGTTCTCTGGTGTATGCTGTTGATTTGACGGAGGAAAGCCGAATCGACGTTTATAAGGCCTCCCTCAACCCGAAGATTTTGGAAATCACCATTCAGAAGGATTTGTGGAAGGCGGCAGTCACTCTTTGAGCCAAGATGGACCTTGCTATCCTCGCTTCCAACATTCTGGATGAACTCAACCTTCTTCGCAGCAACATGTCCAATAAACACCCCGATTTTCAACTTCAACGACCACCCCCACTCCCACCTCCTCCTCAAGTTCCAGCTTCTACTCCTATGGACATTGATTCTATCACGGCAAGTGTTGGTTTCACGTTTGCAGCTTATCGTGCCCTCTGTGTCAAAAATAAGATCTGTCAGCGTTGCCAAAAGGCATATGACGAAGCTCACATCAGCAACCGTTCTTGTCCTAACACGGAGGTCGTAATCAAAAACAAGCTTGACCTTTTTCTTCGACTCGCTCAACATCAACATCCAACCACTCATCTTACTCAAATTCATTTGGGTCCTCTCAATCCTGAACCTGCTCCTGCTTCTTGGGATCATATCGGTCCTGGTTCGTTTGCGGACATGTTGATGTATGGTTGTGATGCGGATGGTAACCCTATTGATGGCAAGTCTCTTTTCTCAGTTCTCCCCTACGCACTACTCCCCCTCTCCTGCTCTCCTCCTACC